CCTTTAGGATATGATAGTTTCATCCTTAGATCGAACCACCTTTATTCCCAAAAAATATTGAAAAAAATCCCAAGGTACTTAATCTTAAATTCTATTGCAAGCATCTTTTTTAGTCCGATAATTTTCTCTAAATCATCACTTGTCGAGATAATAAAATCTACATATATTATGAGAAAAACAATTTTGTATCCTTTATTATGATCAACTTGACACTGATGATATTTGTTTGTAATCACTATTTTTGCAAGTCTATCAAATCAAGTACAAGGATATAGCTTCAAACTGTACAAGAACTTTTTCAACTTGGAAACTAATCTGTACCTCTACCTATTTTTCAGACCCAGAGGTATAATCATGTAGACTTCTTCATCAAGATCGCCATTCAAGAAGGTATTTTCGACATCAAATTGGTATAAAGGCCAATTTTAAATTACTGCAAGAGAGAGTAAAATCTGAGCCATATTACGTTTGACATTAGGTGCTATTGTTTCTTGATAGTTAATTTTGCATAACTACTTGAAGCCTTTAGCAACTAATTTAGCTTTCAATATCACTATGCTTCCATCTCTTTTTTATTTGACCGTGAATATCCATTTGCAGCCTTCAGGATTTTTTCGATGTGGTAACTTTATAAGTGTCTATGTGTTATTATTTTATAGAGCCCGAATTTCTTCCTGAATTTCTTGTTTTCATTTTGGAACCTTTAGAGCCTTTTGAAAAGAGTTGGGAACTTGTGTATCATTAAGGTTTGTCACAATATCTTTCAATTGGATGACCAGTGCACCCTCTGATACCCTTCCTGTGTGCAATTGGTTGATTAAAGTCATCAAACATTGGTGTAAGGGAGTCATGAGTTGAGGTATCCATACAATTATGATTGTTAGGACTTAGTTCTAGCTCTTGACAATCGTGAATCTACATAATGTCCTCTACAAGCTCAATGGTCATTCTGATGTAGACACAGACTTCCTAATCATTGGTATTATATTTAGGTAGAGCAAACACAATTAAGACTATTTTGTGACAGAGTTCGGTTCCTAAAATGGAGCTGGTTGAGGTGGAGTAGAGATAATTGTTGAGGGACAAGATTTGGTTCAACTAAAAAGTAAAATTGGTTGGAATATCTTGAAAAAAAATCCCAATTCTGATATTTCCTCAACTTTCTACCCGACTTTTAGATTTGATAAAATGAGATCAATTCTCAAAGAAGGTGACATCCATAGAGTTGTATAAATTACTAGTGATTGGTAGCATTTGTACAATTTTTTACTAGATGAGTAACCGATAAAAATGCATCTAAGAGACTTGAGATCAAGTTTAGTATGGTGTTGTTGATGGATTCCAACAAAGGTAGAACAATAAAAAATCTTAAGTCATAAGGAAAAGAGCGGATGTGTAAATAGGATTATATGAGAATATTATGAGAAATTTAAAAATTTAAGACTTGACTAGGCATTCTATTGACGAGATATGTGGCTGTGAGAATCATTTCACCCGAAAATATTTACGCACATGATTAAACAGCATAAAGTGTCTACTTTTTTTTGTGGCCCCATTTTATTGAGTATTCGCACAATAAGTTATATGAATAATACCGTGCTTGGAATGATAAAAATTAAGAATAAAATTAAAGTATACCTTAAAATTATCAATTTTAAGAGTTTGAATTTTGCTTTGAAATTGAATGAAAATCGGATTTTTCTTTCATAAGGAATGTTCATGTTCTTCTTGTATGATCATCTATGAATGATATAAATTATCGTGCCCCATTAATATAATTTATTTGTGAGAGTTTCCAAATATCACTGTGAATTCTAGAAAAATGACGTGAAGACTTGTATTGCAATGTAGAATATACATGTTAGGCATGTTTTGCAAGTTGACATAGTTCACATTGATACTTTAGTGATAAAAAGTATGGAAACATCTTTTCAATGTAAGCAAAATTTGGATGACCAAGGCGACAATGCTGAAGTTGACCTAAATTTCAGCTAACATAGGATTTGAATTGTCCACTTTTTAGGTCACGAGTAAGTTTGCTAATTTAAAGTAGGTTGTAACTTAATTTTGTAACATAAAAGAACAGAATAGAGGTGAAGATCTTTTGTCAATTCGATTGATCAAATTCCTGCTACCAGTAAGAATAAATCATTAGATATTCAAAATATAGACTGACTAGTAGATAAATATAATTTTTTAAGATGTTAATATCTCCCTTCATATGATCTGAATCTCCAGAGTAAATTATACAAGGCTTTGATTTATTGCTTTGGACACAAAAAACATGGGATAAGATGCCTTGGCGTGATAACAGGCTGATAGGTTGCTCGGTAGAATAGTGTGATGCTTGTGCAAAGCTAGAACTATTATAAACATTTTCAGCAGTGCCTCAATTTGCTCACTAGTGAACAGATTGAATTCTGAATTGTTGTTGAAAGACATGGTAAGGACAAAAGTCGCAGGCTCGGATGTGGATGTGACTTCCGATAAAGAAGATTGTGGCCATGTCATGTTTGTCCAAGCTAGTATTTTGAAGCTCAACCTGCTTCTCAAATCAAAGCAAGAGGAGGACCCTTAGTTCAAATGCTTAGTTGGATGAGCAAACAGAAACTAGAGGGAGTAGTACAACTCTTGGCTTTCACACGTTTAGCCCTTGGCAAGAGGTGATCAAGCCTATTTCAAGTCGACGACCCATGAGATGTCAGCTAGAGCAAAGCCAAATCGATGACAGAAACCTAATCATTCACTGATTTAGTCGTTTGATTTAGGCAACAGTAGCGAACCAAAGAGGAAATATTTATGCAATATGCTTAATTTAAAACAATAAAAAGGAGTATTTTGTAAGCGAAAGAGACGAATCAACAGGACAGAGTGTTATGTTAGAGTGGAATAGTTGGATGTCCAGCCCTAATTTCTCATCCTAGAGGAGACGAAGCAACGATTTTGCACAAGAAAGCTGGAGATGAAGCAATGGCCTTATGCGTGTGAGAGGAGATCGCTCGTGCATACGTGAGCATCAAATGATAGCATTGAATGACAACGTCGAAAATTTATCTAGAAAAGTTGTAATCAACAATGGAGCTTTGTGGATGGAGCTATCGCTGGAGCGAAGGAAAAGATGAGTGAAGCGCGTGAATGAGAAGAAACGGAAGTGACAAGCAATGTGTCCGAAGTCGTTGTTGAAGATGTCATTGGAGACGCTATTGAATTGGCCTTGAATTGTCAACCACGAGGAGAAGCAGTCGAGACAGATAACGCTTCGATGATTCAGGGGACGAAAGACACAGATTCCTCAAATGCGAACGAAAGATTTCTTGGCTTAGATATCATGTAGAATTCTGAAAATAATTTTATTTCTCGCTAGCTTCAATGCATTACACCTTATTACTTGTACATATAATATATATATATATATATATATATAAGGAAACTAAAATAGGAATCCCTCCAATATAAGAAAAGAAAAGAAAAATGGAAACATCTAATAACGAAAATACAATTAGTGAAATATATTTTGTGGATTCCTTCCTAATGCAGATCATCACTTTCCAATAACATCCTTAAACTATGACTGCAATGATAATTTTCTAGAATAACAGGAACTATGACTGCAATGACAACTTTCTAAGAATAACAGAATGTGATTATCTTTCTCCTTATAAATACATGGAAAAGTATTGGGCAATCCTATATATATATATATATACATATATATATATATATATATATATATATGTATATATATATATGTATATATTTTAAAAGAGAACTGTCATTCTCATTGTACTTTTGCATCTATTTCTTCATATAATTTTCAAACTCAAGATCACACCATTGATTGTGATCTACAACATGAAATTATTTGTGATCATAACAATTTAACTTTCAGCAACTATGTAAGAAAAAAAAGAAGATAGAATGACATAAAATTCTTCATAGAAGTTTTAATTTATAGATATATTTCGCCAAGCAAAACTATCAAATACATTCTAAGAATATGACCAAAACATGAAAAAAATTACAAGACATTTCAAAGCATCTATGCTTTGAAATTATAATTATTATCAATAGATTTAATGATGTTAAAAAAGGGGTATTTTGATCCTATACTTGAATGTAACATCACTAAATCTAACACCTAAATGTTCATATTTAGAACACTCAAATCTTTCACATCACTAAAAAAATACCACTTCCTAATTTTTAATAGTGAAATACATCTTTTCAGGCATAGGTTTTAATACCAATGTGTTATAAATATAAATATCAAGCTTTAAGTGTTAGATATGTAAATACATAAGAATTGTGTGATGTGTATGTAAATTTTCCAAATCTAAATTGGTGAAACATTTTGATTCCCACACTAGAAAGAGAAAATTCATTTTCAACATACTTGCATGAAGAAAGAGAGAGAGAGGGGGGGGGGAGACGGAGGGAGGGAGATTTCTTCCTAAGAGTAGAAAATACATTCCCTCCTATGCTGCTACTATATAAAAATCCCAAAACTCATGATCACACCATTAAAATCTAAGAGAATTTTCATAATAGTTGAATCGTTAATCAAACATATGAGAAAACTGGGAATGATTGGATGGTATATAAAAGCTCACTTGAAAATCTAGTTTTATTCATAATATGTCAAAAGTCAAAATCATCAAATCCACTCTTGAAAATTATCAACAACAATGCGTTTGAGTTCAAGCAGTTGACTCCATATATTTAAAAGCAGAATCATCTTCTCATACAACTGGAGTTATCCATTGAATCTAGCATAAATCCTATTTTTTTCACTTTATAATTGGAACCAGCTTATTTAAACCTGAATCATTGTCAACCTGTAAGTAGGAGTAGAGCAAGGATATCATTAGGTTGCAAACGAAGGAATAATGAAGTACAGGATCCACTGAGTTCAATTTTCTCAATCCACGTGATTTAAAACAGAAGTTCTTAACTCTACCAAATTTACTTTATGTGTGAGATAATGAAAATTACAAACTCACCCCCCACCACGGCCAAGGCGCCGTCCCTGCCTGTCAAAGGCAACACCTGAAAAAGTGAAGGTTAAAAAATAATTAAAAATCTGCCAATACCAAACCAGCATTTCATGGATGAGGGTAATTACCAGGTAAAAGAAAAAAATCAACTGGCTCACTTGCCAGCATAACTGCAAAATCAAAATTAAGAAAAATATTTATTTTAAAGTATAAGTCAGCTCACATAATCTACCAGTCAATTATGAAAAAATTGAGCTCCAATAGAAAAATTACCATCTTCACGATGCTTTCCACTAGCGTCTGTTGGAGATGGTTCAAATATATTCATCGAATTCGCTACAAGATCTTCAGTAGTTGAGATGTGCAGCATCCTCATATTACTATTCTTGTCTTCAACTCGAGGGACGTACAGCTTTTTCCTCAACCGTGTGTGATGGCCTAGACTTGAAAATTAGATAAGGATATAAATTTTCCAATCAGTCCATGTAATAAAATGTTGAGAAAATGTTACCATGCAAATCTAGAGAAACAAATAAATTACTACCCATAATTGAAGGAGTTTCAGGCTGGAAAATGTTCCATAAAAACAATTTGCTGCTTGTTGGAGTATAATATACTTGTAGATAGTAAAGATCTAAAAATAATGACCAATTAATATAATAGCTCATGCATCTATACGTGCGCGCGCGCGCGTGCACACCACAAACCTTTATACCACTAAGTGGGGCCGGCCACATGAATATTTTTTTCTCTATTATGTCTTATTGAGTGTCATATTTTCATTTAATTCTAATAGAGGAAGATCATTTTTTATATAATATGCCCAAGTCCTTTTAGGTCTACCTCTGCCTTTCTTAAAATATCTACTCTCCTAATCGGATCATCAGATGGTCGACATTTAATGTGACCAAACAATCTAAGACAACCCTCAAATCTTGTTTGCCATTGGAGCTACACCAACCCTTTCATTGATAGATTCATTTAGTATTTTGTCTCTAAGTGTTAAGTCATTCATCCACTTAAGCATTTTCATCTCAACAACACTTAACTTTGCTTTTATGCTTCCCTTTTAAAAGTCAACAATCTGCGCCATAAAGTATTGCATGTCTCACCACCATCTTATAATTTTTTTCTTCAAGCCTAAGCGGTACTTTTTTATAACACAATAGACCTAAAGCATTCCTTCACTTCAACAAACGAGTCTTAATTCTACTAATAACATCCCCATCTATATCATCATCAATTTGATATTAGACCCGAGATATCTAAAACGTCCACACCTTTTAATGATTTGAACACCCACAGTAACAACTCTGTCACTAGAGCAACTACTACTAAAATTATATTCCATATATTCATTTTTAGATCAATTCAAATGAAGGCCTTTAAACTCAATGTAGACCTCAATAATTCAAGTTTTTTCCTGAACTCTTTTTCTAGTCTTATCCACAAGAAGGATATCATCAGTGAAAAGCATACACCAAGGCACATCATCCTGCAAATGTCTAGTAATAGCATCCATAATTAGGTTAAAGAACTTCCTTAAAATACATATCTTTAACGACTTGAATATCAACACCTTTCTTTTCTAGAACTCTCCAAAGAACTTCTATTGGAACCTTGACATAAGCTTGTTCTAAATCAATAAGAATCATATGTAGATCCTCCTTACTCTCTCCTTACTCTCTCTATTCTCTCTATACTTCTTCATCAAACCTCTTAATAAATGTATAGCTTCCATAGTAGACTTGCTTCGGATAAATTTAGGTTGATTATGAGAAATCTTTGAATAACGTCTTAACCTATGTTCAACTAACCTCTCACATAATTTTAAAATAAGGCATATTAACTTAATTCCTCTACAATTTGCACACTCTTGTGTATCCCATTTATTCTTAAAAATAAGGACCAGGATACTCTTCCTCTCCTTAAAATTTTTTTTTAGTTTATAAAATAATATTAAAGAGTTCGATAAGGCAAAAAACTCACAAATCTTTTAGATATTTCAACACTTCAATTGAGATATCAACATATCCTATTGGATTTCCACCTTTTGTTTTCTTTAAGTCTCCCCAACTTCCTTTTTACTTATGCGACGATAAAATAAAAGTTTTATCATTATTAACAATATTAATCATTAAGGTCGATCGTATATTCAGAGACTTCATTGAAAAGTATATCAAAATAGTTCACTAATCTATGTTGAATATCTTTCTCTAAGAAAATAATTTTTTGATTTTCATCTTTAATACACTATACTTAAATTAAATTTTTATTTTTCTTTTCTTTTTGTTTGGCTAGTTTATACATTTCACCCTCTTTAATATTTAATCTATTATAAAGATCACTAAAAGTAAATTCTTAGTGTCACATTATTCTCTTAGACTCTCTACGAGCCAACTTATAGTTTTTCCAGTTCTGTAAGTTTTTACATTCAAGCATATTTTTATAACATAGATTATATTTTATCTTTTCTTGCACATAATTATTTCAACACCAACTTTTTTTATTGTGTGCAAGAAAAGATAAGGTTGTATTTTGATTCTCTAAGTATAACTTTTGTCATTTGTTTAATAGTGTTTGTTGCTTTATCCCACATAGAATTAACTTTATGAACATTTCGACTCTTGAAGTATTGAAGTTCACTTACAAAAAAAAAATTTTTTTGTGTTTTTTAAGTGTCCTCATCTAATTCTATGACAATGTTTAATCGTATTCTTATCACACAATTATTCATCTTAAAATCTAGAACTAATAATTAAAGTTGAGTAGTTAAATTTTCACTTGGAATGATCTTACAATCTTTATATTCTCGACGATATCTTTTTCTCATAAGAAAATCAATTTGTGTTTTATTAGATTCATTCTTATAAGTAAACAATATGTCCATCTCTTTTCTTAAATAAAATAGTAAGCCAAAGCAAAATCTAATATAGTTCTGTTTTTTCATAAATCACTCTAAAATCAAAACCACCGGGAATATTTCTAAAAACTTCCACCACTCTACCAACATGTTCTTTAAATCTCCTCCAATAAAACTTCTTTCTTCAAAAGGTATCATTTATATTAATTCTTCTAGGTCATCCTAAATTTTTTCTTTTGAACCAACATCTTAAGGAGCATAAGAACTTCTAACAATATAAATCTCGGTATCAACAACAATCTTTAGGATTATAATTCTATCTCCAATTCTATTAATTTTTAAAATATTATCTTATATAATATACATATACATCTATATTATATATATATATATATATATATATATAGAGAGAGAGAGAGAGAGAGAGAGAGATAAGGTCACACTTGTAATTAAGACCTCAAACATTAAAAGTAATGAGGTTCTAGTTTTATCAATTTATGTAATGGATTTAACCATTCATAAAACATGTTAAAAATTAAATTTCAATTAGATGACATATAGAAATTATCTTAAAGTTCTAGTATTAGTCATGCAAAATAACTAAAAGTTAGTATTTCCTAATGCTAAAGACAAGATATGCAGTAAAAATTTAAAAAAAAAACATCCATAATTCCCAAAATATTAATCAACCCAATAGCTCACTTTCTTCAAGTTAAAATATATAGTAGTAATCTTTCAAGTTAATTGATAATTAATAATTGTAAATATCTGAGAATTTTAGTAAAAATTTAAAAACAAATAAAATCAGCAAGGAAATGAATTAATTTTCATAAATCAAAATTTTAATGCATCACTTCTTTAACAAAATTAACAAGACTAAACTAATCAACAAGTTACATAGAACAATAAAAAATAAATAAAAAGTTATATAGACTAAATAGACAAGGATAAGTTATCACCATTTTTGGTTTGTGGAGACATATTTTGGATGCTAAACAGAGAGACCTTAGTTTAAGCTCCTTGAATAAGTAATCACCATTTTAAAATTTGATTTTTTTCTCTACTAATAGTGCTTAGACTTACATGCCCTTTATGCCCATCCCTTCCCGGGAATTATAGAACCCAGTTCTAAATGAATTTTGAGTGAAATTCAAATTTAAAGAACACTAGAGAATCATCAAGGCGATACAAACCTGAGCTATCATCAAACACGCCATGGGTCTTATTCTTCAGAATTTCTGACAAAATTCTTGTCGTATCAACCTCCCTGAGCGCTTCACAGCTTATATAGGCACATAAACTTTTAGCGGATTTGAACCATGAAGAATCAAGCACAAATTTCTGAATTTCCATATCTGTGAAAAATAACTAGAACGAGAACATAAGTTTCTCAAAATTCTGCCGGAAGTAAAATTTTGTATGTTCCAAGAGAATAGTTTATAAAAAACAAGCAATCGTCATTCAACAATAAAAGACCCTTCTAATGGAGAAAATTACTGCAATTGTAATAACTAAGAAGTACTAACTGGATTGAAGTGCAAAAAACATTTAATGATGGATAATCAAATCATTCACCTTATTTACTAATGGAATTTTTGGTTGAGTGAATTTGTGGTGTACTATAATTCTTTTGCAAGGATTTGAGAAAATTATGAGTTTTGTATAAACATTTACAAATACAATGTAAAGTACAAATGAATTTGAAGCTTACATCAGTGTTTATTTTGGCCAATTTAGCCTAATTTGAATGACAACTTTCATGAAAAATGCTATAAGCAAGCCACCGCCCCC